TTTTTTTCCCTTTTTTTTTTTTTTTTTTTTTTTTTTTTTTTTTTTAATTTTAATTTCTGAATTGTGAAGGGAACTTATCTGTGTTCTTGCTTTTTTTGTATTTTCCTATATCAAACTTATTGGTTATGGTATCGCCAAATGTTAATTTGTAATATCTTTATTGGCCTCTAATGAATTATATTTTAATAATTCTACATATACATTATTATATCAATTACTAATAAATAAAAAATTAGCTATATCTATTATTATATAAACAAAGATTTTTATATTTTTAAAATATGAGGATATGTTTTTTCTTTGAATCCCTTTTTATTGAGTAATAAAAGGACTATTATAATAATATTTTAATAAAATATTATAGTATTTCCTCCCAAAAAAACACTATGGTAAAAAACTTATGTGTTTTATTGATGCTTTTAATTTAAGTATAAATTACAAAGTTTAAACTTTTAAAAAGATAAAGATTTATAGACTACTCTATGTCTCTATCCATTTTGGTTATTTTTTATGATAATAAATATAAGAACTATTACCATCCCTTACTCCAATAAAGTTTGTTGTTAACAACATTGTTTCATTCGAGTGCAGTGTTATGTACGTTTTGGTTGATAAATTATGTATTTTCTTTCTGAAGACAAATGATTTTTTTTTGTACTTTTAACTATTTGGTTTGAAGGTGTAAAAAAAAAAACTATTTGGCTTGAATCACGCATGTAATTTTAATTGTTAAATGCGGATCATAAACAGGTATGGACTACTCTATTACTTTTTTTAGATACTCAATGAAAAAACAAACCTGTTGCCATTAATTCCGAATAACTCTTATCAAAGTTTGTTGTTAACTTGTTATCGACATATAGTTTTTCTTCCAAATGCAGTGTAATATGCTTTGGTTGAAAAATTATGTATTTTATTGTAAAGTCTTATATTACTTTGTTTAGATTATTTATACTTTTAAGTTTTTTTGTTTGAACTACGTGTAATTTAAATTTTTAAATGGGGTAAATGAATATGAACTATTTTATCGTGACTTCAAAAATAAAATATTACAAAGTCAAAGTAGAAAGTTGTGAGAAATTATTATAAAAAACAACTTCTATTTAAGTGAGTATATATACATTCCCTTATTTTTGCTTATTTTTTTTAATTTTAATCCTATGTACAGAATAAAAAAAGAGAAGAAGAAAAAATCAAAATCTAATATATATAATAAGATAATAAAAGCATGTAAAGTAAAGACGGTACAAAATATGTGTAGTATTATTTATCCTAGAAACGGAGGATTTAAATCCCCCAAGTGAACTATATATATGTATCTCCTCGTAACAAGAAGAAGTAAGTTGAAGAGTGATGAGTGATTTCCCCATGAAAGCAGCAGCAGTGAGCATTCTCCTCTTCCTCCTCCCAACCCTAACCATCTCAACACTTTCACCCCCTCTGGACCCGAAGCAACTGAGGGCCCTCCAATCCCTCCACATCCCCACCGCAAAGGACCCATGCCTCCTCCCCAACAACACCACACTCTGCGACACCTCCACACCCTTCCGCCACCTCACATCCCTAAACCTCGCCAACTGCTCCCTCCATCTCTCCTCCGCCGCCCTCAAGTCCCTCTCCACCCTCCACACCCTCACCCTCCTCAACTGCCACACCCCCATCTCCTCCACCTCCCTCTCCCGCCTCAAGAACCTCACCCACCTCACCCTCTCCAACCTCACCATCAAACCCCACCTCCCCAACCTCCAAACCCTAAGCCTTACCCACGCCAACCTCCTAGGAAACATACCCCCTTCCATCACCATGTTGGACACACTTCAGCTTCTCAATCTTTCTTATAACGGACTCAAGGGCCAGATACCCTCCTCCATTGGAGACTTGATTTCGCTTAAAGCTCTCTCCTTGGCCTCCAACTCCTTTTCCGGCTCTCTCCCAGATTCCTTATCTGCCATACCAGGTTTGGTCCACTTGGATCTCAGTTTCAACCACCTCAACGGGACCATCCCAACCTTCATTTCCGAAATCACGACCCTCCAGTACTTGAACCTCGCCAACAACAACCTTCGCGGGGTGCTTCCCTTCAACTCTTCTTTTATCCACAACTTGCAACTCTTTAAGGTCACTGGGAACGGGGACTTGTGTTATAACCGTTCCGTTTTGTCTTCCAAGCTCAACCTCGACATTGCTCCTTGTGATAACTTCGGCAAGCCGATGGCTCCTCCACCGTCCAAGCCTTCTTCTGCGGTTGATAGCGGTGATGGAGATTATGATGACACCGATTATGATGATGATGATGATATCCACAACAAGGAGCATCATCATGGGCCCAACAAGGTCGTTCTTGGCGTGGCGATAGCGCTTTCTTCCATTGTCTTTCTCCTTGTTTTTCTCATCCTGTGCTCCAAGTGCTGTCGCTGAGTAGGAATTTTGGTTATTATTTCCAGATATGCTTCTTTAATCTCTGTTTAATTCGTTTATTTATCATTATACAGTGGTTATAGGGTAGGTGCAAAATGAGAGATGGCCAAAAATGGTTGGAAACGAGAGTGGAAAATTCATCATTAAAGTATTCTTTTGAGCTATTTTAATCGATTTCTTGTGCAATGCAATGATTTATATAGGAGGAATGATGATGGTGCTTATGAGTACAAGACGTGGTGGGGATGATGCTTTCATGTGATATCCAGAGAGAAAATGTAATAGTAACTTGTGCAATAAGCATATTTATTTCTCACACTTTTCACTCCTTCCGCCGTTCAGTTCTGCTCATCCAACCCAACCAGCCTTAATTTCCAAGTACGAGGCCAGTTGAATAAGTAAAATAAAGGTATCTGGCATGCTTTTGAGTTACGGACATAAAGTTCGGCTCGACTCGCAAATTTTGTCTTCACCTGTATTAAAACTTGAAAGTAAAAGTGTCTACTGTTTCATAAGTAAATTTTGAAGCAATTAATAAAATAAACATAAGAATTTAACTTAATTTTACAAAAATATCGGTAAGTTGTATTTGCATTTATATCTGGTTGTGATGTATGTACGACGGTATGGGTAATATAATGATGCCATTTTTTGTTGGCACAACTTGAGTATAAGATTTTGTTCAACAGGTCGAGCTGTTGATAGTTGATGACATGATTTATTATTAAGTAGAGAATAATAATGAACGGTTTCCTCAGTGATGTCTAGCTATGATAATTATGATGTCCATGCCGATTTTACTGTGTATAGTTTGATACGAGCTGTCCATCATACCTTATAACCTACGGTTCACGGCATGCAACTACAACCGCTACTACTTGCTGCATTATTTTTCAAAATTTTAAACGGGGGTTTATTTGTTATTTTACAAATTTTTAATAAAAAAATCAATCAACCTGTTAAAAAAGTATTTACCTATTGTATCCGATTTTGTTATTGTATTACCAGTGAAACATTTGCATCATTTCTTCGCCGTAGATATTACCCAATTTAATTTATGATGCATGCTAATGGCATCATTTTACCGCCATAAACTCTTCACGTCTAGTTTACGCCAATGTATTTTCAGCTCAGATGAAATTAATGAAGTTATTTGGGACCTCGATAAACAGTGGTAAGCCGTAAGCGTGAAGAGAATCTACCAGCACGTTTTCATTTTTATATATTTTTTTTAATGAAGTTAAGGAGATGTAAGATAGCTTCTTTCTAAGATGAAGACGTGACACAAAAAGCAGACTGAGGATTTGATCATATATACCTGTTAAGTCAATTCTCATTGGCTTGCCCCAGACGAAGTACTACAAAGGAAATTGTTGCAGTGAAGCCTAAATGGGCAATGTTAGCATTCCAAGAATATTCGAGGGAAAGGGAAGAAGATAAATGGCTATCTTGGAAACCTCAGAGTAACAATATCCCATGTTTAAAGACCAGGTTTGGTAAATATCTTGGAGTTACCAAGTTAGATCTAAACTTACACAGTAAGAAAGTATTATAATTTATTTAAATAATTATTATTGAATTTTATATTGAATTATTATCAAATCACCTATTAAATATCGGATATATAAATTCTTTTACTTAAAATATTGAATATTTGACATAAAGAATATATTGAATATCTTATATAAATTAATATTATGATCAAAACAATATTTACAATGTATAAATAGGAGATAACTCTCACACTTCATAAATTATATTCTTTAATAACATGATCTTATAAAATAATAAGTCGTCATGTAAATTAAAAGCTAAATTTTATTAGTGGTATAACTTTTTATATGTATATATACTATATTATATCACAGTTTTATGGCATGGTTTTTTACTTGTGACTATAAAATCTTCACTTTTACTTTTAAAATGAGTATGAGTGGACTTCAATTTTTTTACGCATGATATAATCAATTGTTATTTTAACGCATGCAAATGACTCTGAAGGACTACATTTATGACTTTTGAGGAGTTAAGAAATTTGATTCATATTCCATTAAGGGGGGACAAAAACAAACAGCTGAATGTTAATATGTGATGACAGAGATGTTTCAGCCGAATCAGGTGCCTAATGGAGAGCAACGTGAATCTAAAATACCACAAAAACATGTCACCATTCGGTATGTGGCGTGGCATCCACATGCAATATACTCGTACTCGTAGTCCAAAAGTTGGGGTAAACAGCACTGAATTCCTCATTTTCCAAGCATTTTTATGGTCATTCTCGTTATGAGTCTCTTCTCAAGTGTCAAGATTGGTCAACATCATCAGAAATGAAAGTTGGAATCTAAAGCAAACTGAGACCATTAACACAAATCACAACATCCTGCCACTAATTTATTTCCGAAAAATATGATACATCTAAACCCCAATTACAGATCTCTGCTGCTATGCTTTTTCAATCCAGATATAGATGTTTAGATAAGTCATCCATGAATAACAACACTTATCAGACTAAGTTAGGACGTAATATTGCCTCTGGCGTAACTGTGACACTGCAGCCTCAACCACTGATTCTGCACACGTGTGACTACCCTTTCTACATACACTTTGGCCTTGACCTTGTATCCGAGTGAATCTTTCATCAGTTATCACAAAGGGAACTTGCATTGCAAAATATTCGGTTACCAATACTCATGAGGAATTGGAGAACTTCCCCTCTGTTAAACATTTCCAATGATTTACCAGAAACCTCTGCAAGAACATAAACCATCCTTGAAATGATGAAACCGGTTTGAATCTCTCAAGACAATTTCCCTCCCGGTGTTCTTGGACATGAGCTTCCCCATCTCATGACAGTCCCCACATACTCTTAGATTCTTGGTTACCCTAACAGTCCTCCCTGGCGGCACATTTAATATACCAAAAGCCATGGCTAACTTCTCACTATGTCCACATAGAAGCACTTCCTTCTTCATATCATCTGCATTAATCAATGCATACCTCATCTTATTTGAGTAACCACCCTTATTCATTTTCATTCTCAATTTTCTCAGCAACGAGTCGATCCTTTTGGCTTGAGCGTGTGAAGTATCCCCAGCAACAAAGATATTAAACTTTCCTTCGACCTCTATCCAACTACAGCCTTGATCCTTTTTCAATCCCCGCTTACCTATCTTTCTTTGTAACTTTTTCACTTCTTCCCACTTTTCTGCCTCAGCATAGACATTTGCTAGAAGAACATAATACCTTGTATTCTCTGGTTCAAGATCAAAAATATGCTCCGCCACTTTTTCTGCTAGCTCTACATCATGATTGATCCTGCACCCGGAAAGCAAGGCACCCCATATTGTGGCATCCGGTTTAATTGGCATAGTTTCAATTAACTTGTATGCCTTGGAAAGATTTCCAGAACGGACAAGGAGATCCACCATACATGCATAGTGTTCTAACTTGGGCTCGATGTTGTATTCACTTCTCATGGAATTGAAGAATTTCCATCCCTCTTTCAGTAATCCAGAATGACTGCAAGCATAAAGTATGGAAGTAAAGGAGGACTCTTCAGGCTCAATACCTTCAATCCTCATCTTTTCAAATGTGGAAATTGCCTCTTTTCCAAAACCATGCATGCCATATCCAGCTATCATAACAGTCCACGTGATCAGATCCTTTTTAGGAATCATATCAAACAGTTGCTGCGCAAGAACTAGTAACCCACACTTCACGTACATATCAACAAGTGCACAGGCTACAAGTAAATCTGAAAAGTACCCTTTTCTCCATATGTGCCCGTGTATCTCTCTGCCTTTCTCTAGAGCTGCTAAGCCTGCACAAGCCGGAAGAACACAAGCCATCGTAATGTCATCAGGCTTGAAATGTTTTTGCATGTCCTGAAACAATTCTAGAGCTTCACTGGGAAGTGAGTTTTGCGAATAACCTCCAATCATTGTGTTCCATGAGACAATGTCCTTGATAGGAATTTGTGAGAAAATTAAATGAGCTTCTTCCATGCTTCCACATTTTGCATACATATTCATGAGAGCATTAGAAACAGGCAAACTTGACCCCATGTTGTTGTTTTTAATATAATTGTGTACATCCCTTCCTTTATCCAACGAGTTGCTACAAGCACAAGCATGAACAATGCTTGTGACGGTATAAATATCTGGCCTAAGACCTTTGCTTTGCATTTCATCAAATAATCCAATAGCATCATCATATAGACCTTCTCGTACATAAGCAGCTATGATTGAAGTCCAAGAAACTATAGTTGTTTCACCCATCTTCACAAAAATATCAGTTGCACCATTTAAATTACCACATTTAGAATACATGTCTAGTAATGTATTGTTAAATATGACATCCCCGCTAAAGTTAGCTTTCACTCCGTAAGCATGAAGAGCTCTACCCAATGAAAGGTTGCCAACATTTGCACAAGCCACAAGAACGTTAACCAAGGTGGTCGAATCCACATCAACCCCCAAATTCAGCATCTGAATGAAAAACTCGAGTCCATTTCTTGAAAACCCATTCATAACACACCCACTAATCATGGAATTCCAAGAAACAACATCTCGGTCACTCAATTTATCAAACAAATTACGTGCACTATCAACTTCACCACACTTAAAATAAGCTGCAATTAGAGAGTTAACAACAGCATTATAAGAACCAAAACCCAGTTTAAGAATATACCCATGAACCCTTTTACACTCCCTCAACTTTGCCAATGCGGCAAAACACTTTAAGATACAACTAAATGTATAAGAATCCCCTCTAATTCCCAACTTCTGCATTTTCACAAAAAGACCCACACTTTCCTTGTAATTACCAAGCTTTGCATATTCAGACATCAAAAGATTCCAGAGAAAAACCTTATCATTGAGGATGCCATCAAATATTCCTCTCCCTTTAACCAAATCACCACAATTCACATACATGAAGACTAGTTTTGCCCCCAAAACCGCATCAATTGCCAGGCCATTGGAAGTGATAATAGAATGAACCCTCTTTCCATCTTCCAAAGACTTAAGCTCGGCACAGAGCTGCAACACAGAACAGTAAGTTTTCAACTCAAGTTCAGACCTTTGTGACATTTTGAGCAATTCCATGGCACTTCTGAGATCACCCATTTCGCAGAACTTGCAAATTTTTGCATTTTTGTCCACGGTTACGTTGTGGGTGGTCTCGGATAAAGTCGCAGAGACAACAACACTGCTACCGCAAGAAAGGTCGAAATTCGAAGGTGACAGACATGTTGTCCAAGATTGTCTGAAGAAGATGAACGAATTCGGAGATTTTGCATAGTTTGAGTTCTTTCTGGGGCTATGATGAGTTGGACAAGGGCTCAACGTTGGTATGGTTTTAGACATGGTTACCCTCTGTCTCCGCCATCAAACAACATCATGCGCTATATGTACCTAGGCCAAAAAATTATGCCTCTTTTCGTTCCAAACTTCTCACGTGTAATCTTTTTTTACTTATAAAAAATTGTTAGAATAAATTTTTTTATCTATACAGTACTCCTTCCGTTTTTTTTCATAATCGTTTAAAAATCATTGATATTTTAGTTTTCAAAAATATTTATTACTTACTTTCCTATTTTATCCTCTTTTTTTTTCATTTTTTTAGACTGTTGAACTATTCCATTAAATAGTTGTCCCTTTTTTTTTTTGTTTTTGTACCGGAGAGACCGTATCGGTCACGTGGGCCAACACGTGCCATTTCGTCAGACACTCATGCATAGTAAGCCACGTACAAGCATCACCATCAACGTCGGCTCGGCATGAGGTCGAGAACCGACATCAGTCTGGTTAACGCCAATATGGACCATCATCACTCATCGAGTCGGCTCGGTCAAGTACCGTTCCGACATAGATCGTACCGGAAAGTATACAAGCTGCCGTATACGGACTAGACGGCTCGGTCATTTGCCGTTCCGACTAGTATTGAATAGTCGGCTCGGCCTCTTGCCGAAGAGTTAAACAAGTCATAACGGTAATCACAATTAAGAAAGGTAAGTACATGATTAAAGCCTAACAACCAATTAGTACCGTATTACCTAATTTGGTAAATATCTGAGAGGGCCCATCACGCTCAGGCCCATGTCAGATGCTATAAATAGGTCACGCACAACAAGGTATGTCACTGTTCATTCATTACCCTAGAAAATCGTGCCCACACTGACTTAAGCATCGGAGTATCTTTTGCAGGTACCTCCCCCTCCGAAGAATCCACCTAAAGCTCTCGTTCGGTCCTCATATTCCCCTGAAGATTACGAGTGTACCCTCAGGCAGGTACAGTTTTTTTAATAGTATTTTGTTGGGAACATATTGCTCTTATAAATGAACATTAACTTTATATGAGTAGTTAGAGAAAAATTAGGTAGATATTAAAAATAAATACACACATTGTTCAGGAAGCATGTATTAATTATCAAGGATAAAAATAGAAGAAAAAAATTAATAACTCATTGATTTTAGTAATATGACAATGAAGAAAAAACAACAAACTCTGACAAAACGACTATGAAAAAAAACGGAGGGAGTATATAACATGATAGGAGTTTTTAACTATATACTCAAAAAAATAAAAATGAAACAATTAATCGTATTTTATTTTTATCATTAGTTATAATTTTTTGTCCCATACTTCTTGTACCATCCTAGATACAGGACCGAGGTGACCATAATATTACTTTTACGGTAAAGGCTAATGAGAGCCATCTCGGTAACTCGGCACAAGGTACTATGTCCACCTCGGCATATGGATACCATTAGACACGATGGCATATAGACAACTTAACCGCAATTAACCGACCACAAACGAGACAGCAGTTACAAGAAGTAACCGTAGAGGATAGGCAATAAGATAGGCGTTAGGAGACATAGAACGACAGACTAACTTGATCGTCAGAGTCCTTTTTGTATGTACATTCGAGAAACGTGAAGAAGGAAGATCGGACATCACAAAGAACAACAACTTATATGAAGGAACGGGATCAACGTGAAGAGACGAGTTGACCTCGGTAAGAACACTTCTATTTCATGTAAGTTAATTTTTGTTTTGTTATTACTCACTAACCCTCTCTTGCCCAAAGTATACAATGTGGGTTGTCTTAAATCTCAAGTGGAAATTACACTAATGCAAAAAAAGTGGCCCCATTTAAATATACGAAGGTGTGAAAAGAAATACTTTAAATGAATTTGTCTGTAAAAGTAGTTTATTTACCTTTAATTTTAGAGGCGATAATTCACTTTAAATTAATTTAATAATAAAAAATGCCGCAAATGAATCTTAACAAGGAAATAAGGTCATTATAATCACATGGATAGCGTGTTAATACGATAATTGGCTTTTAAATGTTTGTGTTGCTGACTTGCAGCTCTTGAGCAAAATGAGTTGTTAAAATGAAGTGATTTTTTAGTATTAGTGGGAAATTATACAAAACGAAATAATTTACCTAAAAAAGTGCATTCCGTTGCCGGGACTTGAACCCGGGTCTCACGGGTGAGAGCCGAGTATCCTAACCAACTAGACTACAACGGATTGCTTGTCAGTTAGCCCGTCATACAAATTTTATTTCTTTATTTTGTTAAACTTGACTCTCATCAATGACCCACTCATTAGTCTCTGTTATTATAAAAGGATTACAATGGAACTCAACGATTGCTCAATAGCTTGTAGTAGACTCCATGTTTTTTGTTCTACGTATGCAAATATCGTCTTTGTACACACATTGCTGATTAATTATTATATGTTGTTCTTTTGTTTGAAGTCACACTAATTTCTGTTTTATCAAGATAAATAATTTTGAGAAATTATATTTTCCCTTTCGTAATTTTAAAAAGTAACGGATGCTCCATTATTTAATTCCCTCTTAACACTAGTGACAGAGTAGGTGAGGGTAATTTATTTATAAAATAAAGATATATATTATATATTAAAGACATAAATATCACATAAAAAAAACTTATTAAAAATGAAAAGTGGGTTAAAAAGAAACAAAAATATAAGAAAGAAGTTAATAAATAAAAAACAGAAATTAACAATAATTGAGAAATTAATGATAGTTAGTTCAAATTATAAATTTAGAAGAGACAAAAAAAATTCATAACTCAAAAACACGTACATGAATTATCTTTAAAGTCACAAATACACCCCTTAATTATATGTTACTTCATCACTTATCTACATATAACCTTCTAAAGATGATAGGCTATGCATGATCCTTTTTTATATATATATTGTACCGGAGAGACCGTATCGGTCACGTG